ACGGGAGTTGAGCTCAGAACTGCTGGCACGAGCGAGCTGGCTGCCCGTGAATCACTTTAATGCTTCGTTTTCAGATGCACAAACACGCAGGTTTACAGTAACTGTGCATATGTTGCGTCCCATTGCTCCTCATCGGATTCACTGATGCTCCATGGGTCATAAAAATTAAACAGCCATAAATCCATCAGCCCTGGGGTTCTTCACTGAACGCTATAAATCCCACGAAAACTAATTAAATAGGACAATGGTGTCCATTTAAAGCTGGCACGTAGGAACGTAAGCTATTACCGCAGCGAAGACAAGACTCGAAATTGATTTGTTGAGGGCAAGGGCAACCCAAGTGCCCACGCCGAAGGGCTGGTGTTGGGTACATCCTAGCTCACCGTAGCCTGCAGCTTCTGGCTGGGAGAGTTAAGAGATTGCGTTAAGCTCCTAAGATTTATTTCTCCTCCGCTTTGCTTTCTAAATCAAATCATCCAATTAACATATGTGCTGGAGTTTGTTGCTTGAAATGCTATCTGGCGACTCTAAAAGCTTTTCGTTATTGGTTTTCGTAGGGCTTGTTTGTTAAGCGAATGCCTTTGTCGCTGCCGTAGGGGAGCCTGTTCTGCTGCTCTTCCCTACGCTGATTAAACCCTCCAAAGCAGCGATGTCAGCATGGATCGGTGTCGAGATCAGAGTCAACGCTTTTCGTAACGCTTGTCTGGGGTGCTATGAGTTTGCAGCTCTGCAGCATTTGTTGCTCTTCTGTAATTTGGGTTGGTTTTATGCTTTGGTAGGGGAGGGAAACTGAGGCAGGGAGTGGGACGGCCCTGTCTGTGGGTGTTTAATAAAGGGGGGTGGCTCGGCAGGGAGCTGAGACTGGTTTTGCCTGCGGCGTTGGCCATCTCCTGCCTGTCTTTCGAGAGTGAAATAGGTGTTTCCACCCGAGCAGCGCTCACCCCAGTGAAACCCTGCTCACCACGCTGCTCTCACTGGTTTTAAGGAGTTAGACATGACACCTCCAGTAGGTTTAAATGTACAACCTGGCAAACGTACTACTGCTCTTGGGTTCATAAATCAGACTCTTAATGATGCTCGTCGGGAGAACCGAACTTGGCGGAGCTGAGCGCAGCTCAGCCTCCCGCGCTGCAAACAGCCGGCGTCTCCCTGTCGCTTTGCACGGGCTTGAGTGCTTCAGGTTTCATCCGAAACGTGTCCCCTCTGGGAACAGACCTGCAGATGTCCCGGGACACCCGGGGAGCTGGGCACAGGGATAGTCCTGACCTGTGCTGGCTGTCTGTGGAATGCTTCCCTGGTCTCCCAAGTGTCTCCTGCTGCTTTCTCATGCCATGAACATCTCCCTCTCATCTTCAGTCTGAGTTTGTGCAAGATTTTGTAGCTGGAAAACGGTTGGACTCGATGATCTTAAGGGTCTTTTCCAACCTAAATGATTCTATGATTCTACGAAAATGCCGGGCCAAATCTTGCCTGAAGGAGCAGAAGGGTCAGGGGCTCAGAGACAGGTTACCCTCCATCTCCTTGCCTGCCCCTCGGCTTTCTGGCTTTTCTCTGACCTTCCTTGCTCTGGGAGCAGCTGAGAAATAGGAAAGAAAAGGCTTGAGTTTGAGAAAGGGGTGGGAGGGGAAATCCCCAACAGGCAAATAATGTCATTCCCTGTCTTCCAGCCAGTCCTGGGCAGCTGCTGCAGAGCCTGCACTCGAGGGGGGGACGCACCGGCCACCCATCACCCATGGGTGAGAGCGTGCAAGGTCTGGGAGCGAGTTACCCTCCTGTCTGTAGGGGACATGCTGGTGCTTGCCTCCATCTTGGAGAAAGCTGGGTGCTTAGATATCAACTATAATCTATTTTTTTCTCCTCTTCCCACTTGTAAGGAATGCTGAGATGTTGGTGGGTTTCGGGGATGGGGAACAATGTGCACCCAGAAATTATGTTCCCTGGGATTTTGCAGGCTGGAGCTGCATGTATGTAACAAATTATAAGCTTTTTTGAGGAAAGAACTGGAAATTGGTCTGCTTGGAGAAGAGTGAGGGACTGTAAACACTTTGGGGTTTCTCAGCTCTTTGAGGTGGGTGAGCGCCCTTTCCAGTGAGCTCAGCATCGCCCTGGTCCCCTGCAAGCGCCGCAGTAAGGGGTCACACCAGGCTGAAGGACATCATCTCCTCTGGCTCTTGAGCATCCACCCGTGGGAGCTGCCAGGGATGCCTGCCAGCCTGGCGGTGATGGGGGGCAGTCCCCAAGACGGCCCTGGCCCCACTGAGATGGGCACGATGTGAACAGAGACTTCACCAACTGCAAGGAGTTCATGAGCGCCGCGTAGCCGGTGACTAACCCAAAGCAAATAACAGGGCTGTCCCCTTGAAGGGAAGCTGACAGCCCCACACTCGCGTGGTGCTTAAATCACTTTCAAAGCCTCGTTTGTCCTTACAGCATCAGCTAATGCATTAGAAATGAGTCCTGCGGGAATCAGCGGCTTGCCCGGTCATCAGGGTGACAGTGACCTCGTTTGCAGGGGGGAACCAGCGGAGGGGCTGCGGGGTGCAGGGATGGTGCTGCACTCCTGGGCGTGCTGGTGGGCTGCCGGGAGCAGGGCGAGGAAAAGATAGACCCTGTGCAGGGAGAAGGAAGCTGGTCCTGTGGTTTGGCACCGGCACCAAAAAGCCAAGGACTCCTGCCTGCAAAAGAGGGGGAAGGTTTGCCCGGAGTCCTGCCTGTGCCGCTGCATCCCGCACCGCTGGTGAAAGCGCGGTCTGGCTGGGGAAGGGATGGAGGGGCTGGAAATGAACCTTCCCTGTAGGAGGAGATCTCTGCTTCCCTCCTTCCTCCTCAAATATGTGACCTTCCCTTCCCAGGGTGGCCCGAGGGTCTGGAGGAGATGTCCTGCTCTGCTGGCCCGAGCCCTGTGAGGTGGCACAGCCCATCACGGCTGGCGGAGGTCCTGATCCAGTGACCTCTGGCCAAGGCCACTGGTGGGAAGTCACCCAGCAATTAGGGCTAATGTCACCGGGGCTAATTAGCCCTTGAGGAGGTGATGACTCCCCACCGACCTGCTCAGGTGGCATTTAACCCTTTGCAGGCTGCTGCTGCTCTGCAGTGCCGAGTAACAGCAGGAGAAGGGCAAGAGGGGTTAAATCCATCGGCTCGGGTTATCGGGCTCTAATTGCTTTATTCTTTACTCGCCTGCAAAAAGTCAGTCTGGGGTCAGCAGCCTTCGTCACATGAGGATTAAAACGCTCAAGTGAGTTCATGCCAGGGCTGATGTCACTGCCCTGCTCCTCAGATCCCTGTTTTTCCCATCCGGGTGCTGGAGGGAGCTCCTGGCAGAGGGGGGCTCGGTGTCTGAAGGTGCAGATGCTGCCCTGAATGTGCTGCCTCTGGGAGATGGGAGAGTGTTTTCCTTGGCATGTCAGTGCCTCCAGCCTGCAGATCTAGTGCCCTCTGTTCTCTCCCCAAAATTTGGATTTAAAACAGAAAAGAAGGCATTTGCATTTCAGCTTGCTGCTAAATGTCAGGGTACAGTCCGGAGAGAAATGTTCTCCAGAGCATCTAAGAAGCAGGAGGCGAACACAGAGAGGATTTGGGAGCTGAAGTTATCAAACGCAAGCGTAGGCACGTAAGAACCAGGGTCCTATCAGGAGTCAATGAGACGTGGCTCCCCAAGCCACGCGAGGGCTGTATGAAGTCATACCCAGCTCCACGAGGTCTCCCGAGAGCTGGGTAAACTCATTGCATGTTCTCTTCTAGATGGTTTTCCATCAGCTAAAGCAGTTTGTTTGGGAACTGTTTGGAACCGGATGGCAGGGCTGGGCACGGGGGAGTGCTAGCTTTGCCTCCTGTGTCCCCAGGATATCATGCCAGGTTTGAAATATGGGGAGAGGAGGAGCCAAGTCAGGCTGAGGCTGTGATCCCTCTAGCCAGGCTTAAAAGCACTTGCCATCCATCGTAAGGGCTTCGCTGTAACTCAGGGTAAGGGAGCTGAACGTCCTCTTCTACTGCCTCATTTCGCTGGTGGCTGCTACTCTTCTTCCTGAAGCACCGAAACAGTCTTGGTGTGACAGCACCTATGGAACGGGCTCCATCCTGGGCAGGGACATACGTCCCCTCACTGGTCACCCTGATCCATCTTGACCGTCAGGTTGTTGGATACTCTGGAAAACGCAGGGAGACGAGATCCTCAGCTGGCAGAAATCGCTGCTGAGCTCCACGCGGCTCTACCCATTTGCCAGACTCGCTCGTGCGTTTTTTTTGCTTGCGACCCAACGGCAAAGTGGGGAGGGTCCGTGCAAGGCTGCCCAGCGGCCCCCTCCGAGGGCTCCCCCGCTCCCCCCCATGCTTTCCCGGCCCCCGCCGAACAGATGGTGCCGATTTTCACAGGGGGAGCAGAGGAAACAAAGCCCAGAGCAATGGGAGGCTGCAGCCTGTCTCCCAAATGCAGCCTGGGGGATGACATCTGTGGGGACGGGCTGATGCATGTGGGTGTCTGTGGCGTGCTGAGCCCCGTGCCGAGCCGGCACTTACGCCTGCCCTATCTCACTTTTCTTTCTCCTTTGTTGTGTTTTTTTTTTTTCTCTTTTTTTTTTCCTCCTTTCTAGATAAAGAAGCTCGTGGACCGTTTGCAGGGATGTCGGTGAAGCAAGCGGGCTGCCTCCCCGCCTCTGACCAGCCCAGGACCAC